CACCTCAAACACAATGCCAAAATGGGCGATTCCTTCAGTTCCCCAGGGCGCTGGCTGCTTAGTAACTGAAGCTGGTATTGCTGTCCAGCAGGCCAGAAATGACCCTGACTCGAAGCAGAGGACTTCCAGACAGACAGGTCAAGTACAGCCATATGCAGGACAAGTAGGATAATTTTATTCTCTCTTTTGTTTTTTAAGTAAAGATACAGAAGTTTTACAATTTAGTATGATTAGGCGTCATTTATCTTTTAACACTTTTTTTCTTTTCTTTTAAAACAAATAACAGAAACACAGAACTAGTACAAATTAGAAAACTACTACAGCAAAGGGAGATTAATTTTCTGATCAAAACATGAGCCACCACTAAACTTCCTTGGAAAACTTTCTTTGAAAGGGTTTTTGAAAAGGCTTTAAAAATTGCTAATATTTAAACTATTTTTGTAACTACCACTAAATGCTTTCATCATCTCTTTAATCAAATTACTTCCTAAATTTTGGAACCAATGACCAAAGAGCCTGAAACACAGAATTCTTGACCCTATTTTCCAGCTATAAATTATCACTATTAAAAAATATATATCTGCTAAGCACAGAAGCTTTTAGAAAACTTCCCTTTAGAAATGACCTTTTCTGGCTCAGTACCTGACTAAAATGTTCATATTGCACACACACACAAATATTCACACTGCACACAAAGTTCTACTGCACACATGCACACAAATGTTTACATTGCAACGTTCATATTACACACATGCAAATGTTCACACTGCGCACACACAGATGCTCACATTGCAAACATGCAAATGTTCATATTGCACACATACTTGTTCATATTGCACACATGAACACACACAGGTTCACACTGCACACAAGTGCTCACATTACACACAATGTTCACATCGCACACAGGCACACACAAAATGCTCACACTGCACACACACAATGTTCACATTGCCCCCACACAAATTTAAGCAGCATATATCTGTGTTTGAGAAGATGAAAAACAAGATTGGTCAAAAAACAAACAAAACTCTAAATTGTGTCCCATTTACATGATTTAAATATAGTTTATCTTTAATGAATATAAGTAAAAAGGTAAACTTCAGAAGAACACAGAAATACAAATGCGTTAGTTTTACAAAATATATCTAACCCTGTATGCGTGCATAATCTTTTAATTTTTGGAGTTCCTATACATGGAGCTTGTTTCTTCATAACAAAAGCAGGAAGTTGTGTACAAAATTATTTATATGAATATAAGAAGGATCCTCATTCCTTTTCTTTATCCATGACAAACAGTTACGGAATATGCTGGAAATTATGAAAAAAGATGATTTCAATGTTCTGAAGTCCAAAGAACTGGAATGAGAAAACCTCTAGCAGCACATTATAGTACATGGAATGACAATCATCTTCTAGTAATGGGGGCTGTGTCCACGTTTGAAGGCTACCAAGGAATGAGGTGGGAAAGCCCGGGATGCCAGAGCCATCTGGGATCAGATGGTGGTACACTCAAAGGGCCCCAACCAAGTCTTTGCTAAGACACCAGGCTCAGGAAGGATCCCTCAGCCCACTGGCCCCTTGCCCAGCAGAGCAGTATGCTCCTAAAGGGCAAGTACCACCGAGTGCGGCACGAAACTCTCTCCTCAAAATCAAAGTCAACCCTGCCTGCCACAGTACGCTCACTGTAGCTGCAGTGTAACGCTCAACTTAACTCCTTTCTAATGCTTACAGCCTGTAGCTTATGAAATACTGCTCTCAACATACTTTCTGTCAGATTTTAAGGACTTTGTTCCTTTGAAATTTAAAAATGCTTAATAAGAGAATTTAAACAGCAAGATAAGGTTGAAGAAAGCATGTCATATATTCTGGGTTGCTGACAAAAGTACAACAGTGCTTCAAAGAGTTCATGAAAGCATTCCATTACTTTTAATTCCATCTTTCCAAGAACTTTTGGAAGCACCTTAATAGACTGCTGCTATATCTTAAAGCAAAAAGTAGATGAAAATGGTTTCAAGGTTTTGGACCTGTGGTTTAGTGCTGTCGAGTCAGTTCCGACTCTTACAGTGATCCTGTATAGGGTTTCCGAGGAGCGGCTGGTGAATTTGAACCGCTGACCTTATGGTCAGCAGTCCAGTGCTTATCTTACAGCGTCACACTAGGACCCTAGAAAATCCCTAATAGATTTTTGGGGGAAATTAGTCACACTGGTTGCATGAGCTAAATATATATGCAAAACAAAGCTATGCCTGAATCAAATGAGTATCTGTGTTCCCCTAGCCCACAACCCCTGGTTAGCCCTGATTCGTCCCTTCCTTACCTATGTCATCGTCACTACAGTGCCCACTGTTAAGTGCTGTCAAGTCAGTTCTGACTCAATAGCACCTCTGTATAGGGTTTCTTAAGAGTGGTTGGTGGGTTTGAACCACCAACCTTGCGGGCAGCAGTCTAGTGGTTATCCTACAGTGCCACACTAGGAACCTAATACAGAGACTAGTCGAAATTACAGTAAATCAAGGACTTTTCCAAATAACATTTTTTAAGTCACTAGGCTAGCAATAAGGCCACTCTCACACTAGAGATACAGTCTGTATGCCCAGCACACCCCGAGGAAGGTTTGCTGACCTTTGACTCCCTCAGACCTATTCATGAATACTCAGTTCTTAAATACAAAAATGCCCTGGGAAGCACTGGAGCCCAGTGTGACCATCAAGAAACACACCTTTCCCAGTCAGAAGATGGCCAGCGGGTGGTGCTGACAGCTCACAAGCTAGTGTTTGGAGGGAGGATACTGCTCTGGGCTGGTCACTCAAGCAGAACCCGGAACCCATGCTTGAAGCATGAAGGCTCACAGGACAAGAGCTCAAACTTCCTGTCTTCCAACTGTTTTGGCTGTCCTGGGGCCCTTGCCCACCACCTAATGGCCAATAATCCCTGAAATCTACCAACACTTTCCAAACCCTGTAGGAAAGAGAGGTGTGGTCTTGCTGACTATTTCAATGATGTATGTTTCACCTCCCAAGATACTTGTTTTTTGTCAATAGTCAGTTAAGCGAATATTGTAAGAAGTGAACTCATCACTAGAAATATTAATAGAAAATTTAAGGTGTATATTCAAATGGAGAACAGGTGGGCACTAAATAGTGCACAGCTAAATTTCACATAATTGTTTTTATTCTGCTGCTTTTAAACAGTGAGAGAGAGACGGAAGTGACTGAATGATAAAGCCATAAAATAAGATGACACACCAGCAGTTTGCTGCTGACCCTTTGCAGCGTTCCTCACACTGAACGTCTACGGATGACCACCACACACTGAGACTCTCACACTCCAAGCTATGACGTGGCCTCATCAAACAAGAAGTTAGGGCTAATTCCTCACAGTTTCACTGTAACGCTGATTAAAGTACCTTGGAAGGTTTTGTTTTGTTTACTTTCTCCTCTCCAAACAGTATTTCCTGAGAAGGTTAACTTTCCTAGCAAGTGGAGCTGATGGAGTTCTCACATTAAGCCTGTTAATTTATTATCACTGGATTCTTGAGTTACTATGTACAAATGAAGTATGGTTTTAGATTTGCTGCAGTTATATTAAAACACAAATTGGAAAAATATACAGGTATTCAGAATAGGTCCCTATGCCCATTTCACATACACAGAAAGACTTGTATCTTATAGAAGCATTTCATAGGGGATAAGTCCAACATAAATCAGTGTCCTTCTTAATCAAACTCTTTGTTTTCACAATACTTTTCATAGCATATGTACATCATACTCATAATGAATTCTCCAAATACTCTTAGTTACTGCCAACAGCCTTCGTAAGCACTCCCTGAGGACGTCCACCCACAGTCCCCTTGAGAACTGAATGGGAGCTCAGCCCAGCAGCACACGAGGACCACTTGTGTAAAATCACCAGTTGATTGTAGTTTTCTTCTCTTTGCTTCTGCTTTTCCAAATTTGAGCTAAGATGGGATGTCTGTTTAAAATTAAGGATCATCTTGCTTTTCTTTCATTAATACTTGGAGAAGGGGGTAGGGATTGATTATAAAGGCTCTTCAGTCAGAAAGCATGAAGGCCAAGCGCCTTGGAAAGCTTCATTGAAGAAAACAACTACAAGGAGACCTGTAGGTCTGTAAACACCTAGTGGAGAACTATTCAAAAGAAGAAATTAGAAGGCACGAATTTTGGTTTAAAAAATGCTTGTAAAAGACTGTGACATTATTAGAGTTGACAAAACTAATATATGGGTCATTTAAAATATTGCCATCTATACATACTCCTGTTCAACTATGTGAACCCCACCACACTCAGTCTCAACATTCTTTGCACACCTACTTGCATATTTAGGACGAGAAAGAAAGCATAGTGACATTCCTTGATGCCTCATAGTAACAGCTTAAGGATTTGGAAAGAACAAGTTAAAAACCCTTAGAATCATCACCTCTGACTTTCAATTTTTGAGAAGAAAGTAAATGAATAGACGTGTTTTATGAGGAGCAAGCAAACAAAATCACTATATAACTTGGTAAAATAACAACAACAAAGGGATGGGCTCTGTGGCCCTTTAACTTTATAAGCTCCTTTTAGGGACATTAGAGAAATTGAAATAGTAATATAACTTAATTTTAGCAAATATAAATTACAGTCACCAACTGGATATTCAAACAGAACAAAATTTACAGAAGTGAAAACTTTTCTAAAGTACACAAATATATGAAGTCAGAACTAAATTCCATTACAAGGTTCATTTCCTTGTGTGGTTTAATCAAGTTCGGACAGAAACAAAAGTCAGCGTTTAAACCCCCACCCGGAAACCATCCCTGCAGTGGCTTTGATTTCATCTTTCAGCATCCTGTGACGTGCATTTAGACAGAAGACAACTTTTGTGTAAACAGGTCGACACCTCAGTCCCCTGCCTTGTGCCTGTGACTGGTGAGGAGGAACAGCAGGCAGACCAGGGATACACACCCAAGAAGACAATGGTAGCCTCGGGAGTCTTGCTCAGGGCTTCCCATCCGGAGGCTCGGTGAGACTCTGTGGGGGGGAGCTGGTGAAAGTGGACAGCCAGGAAGACATGGCTGTCTTTGCACTGGAGAAAGCTCCTCCAACCGACTGGCCTGGACAAAGGAGAAGAACACAAATGGAACAGTGTCTCAGAGATCTCCAAGGAACCGAAAAACAAGCTGAAGACACAAGGACCTTCTCCTGGAACCAACAGACAGAGGAAACCTTCTCGTGGGGCTGCTACCCTGAATCCAGACTTTTAGTCTCCTGAACCGTAAAACATTAACTACTGTTTGTTTAAGCAAACCATTTGTGGTTATTTTTGTTATAACAACACTAGAAAACCAAGCCAGATTCTAACCTAAAGGTTTGCAGTTCAAACCCACCCAGCAGCACAGCAGAAAAAGGGCCTGCTTGTGTTAAAAGAACATGATGAACATGTGACTGGACAATGGAGGAAGGGTGATCAAGATGTTTTCTACGCCATGGTAAGGAGCTAGTCTGAATTATGCTCAGTGTTCAGTGGAAGGTAGAACTTGTAAGTGATGAATCTGGATATCTGATGATCTGATATCCTGGTAATCTGCTTTCATAAAGATCACGGCCAAGGAAACCCTGTGGGGAAATTCTACCAGAAACGAATCCCAATTAGATACTTCATAAGTAGTTGCTGAATAAGTTGATTAATGAATAGAAATGCTATGAAAACACACCAAAAAAAAGGATGAACAACTGTGTCTGGCTTATAAAGAAACTATATATAAGTAAAAATCTGAGTTTTAATTTAAATCAAATTAAAAAAAGAGAAATGAGAATTCATTGTAACATACCAGCATGTTAACAATCATCAAAATGTCATTTAAATTTCTAATTTCAAAAGAATGCCTTCCCATGAACATGTCTTACAGGAAACTGGATAATTTCTTGGTATAACAGCTTACTCTCCTAAGCGTTTTGAAGGTATTCATCCAACTGCTTTCTCACCATCCAACTGTTAGGTAGGTGAGTGGTTCCCAACAAAGATGGGCCTCAGAACCACGTGGAGAGCTCTCTGTATCCTGCATGCCACGTGGGGACACAGGCAAGGGGTCTGGGTAGCTCTAGGAAAACGTGCTCATGTCACTGAAACTGGGGGTTTCAGAAAGTTCCTGGGAAAATCCATTATCCTTTAATCCTACTTTTCCACAAACTTTTTGAAACCCTTCTTGCACAGAATTTTTCCTGTCTCTTTTTAAAACATTCTACCATAGTTTATTTTTTGTTGTTGAAAATCTACACAGCAGAATATACACCAATTCAATTTTTACACATACAATTCAACAACACTGGTTACTTAAATTGTACCGCCATACTCAGCCTCCGTCTCTGGATTGTTCCTCACCATTCCCTAAATTTCCTATTTAATCCTTTGAGTTGCTTTTGTCCAACTTTTGATCCCATATCGTTCTTCAAAAACCACAAAAGATCAAGGCAGACAGTCTTCACTAGTTAATCCAAATTACTGTTTGCTAGTAAGAAGATTTCAGGGCATATAGGCTTATTTTTAAGAGCATTCTCTCAAAAACTGATGCTAATGTGAAATTATTTAAGTTGATTCATCTATGCCCCATTATTCTTCAAGAGGAAAACTGTTCTAGAATTTAATTAACAGCAAAACATCACTAAATATTCATTAACATTTGATACTATATAACTAAAATAAAGTGAGATTTTTTTCTATTAAAAAAGAATATTCAAATAAGTTAAATGTACAATATATAAGGAATTAAATAGTTATAGCTCAAATTCAATTCTCTTGGAATAACGGAGACCAAGTGATAGGGCTACGTATTCTACATTTGTCTTTTAAAATGAGTCTTGAGTTCTTTTGCTCTGTCACTCTTAGGCACCAGAATGTTGGAGCTAAGAAGACACCTATGTAGATATCACCTAGTTTGGGGGCTTCTGAAATGCCTTTGGTAAAGGTAAATAAGCCTCTCTCAGTAGCTAAGGAAACAGGTGGGTACTATTTTTAAATACTGGTATGACAAAGCAAACGGGGCAACAAGGTAAATAATTGGTGACTCTGAGGGAAGTGACAGTTGCAACATTTCTTTATGTTTGAAATTTTATCAAAGTAACAATGTTTAAAAATGAGAAAATTCTTTATGAATTACTATGGCATAAGCTTCAAAACAGTCTGAGTGAAGAAAGACAGATGTGGAAGAGTACATGTGGCATGCACTCATTGGTCTGGCTCTGGTGTTGGGGTAACACTAGCCTCATCAGACATGTTGGGGAGTATTACTCAGTCCTGGTGTGGCCCTGTAGGATACACACTAGACTGCTAACCAAAAGGTCAGCAGTTCAAACCCACCAGACACTCCTTGGAAACCCTATACAACGTTGCTATGAGTCAGAACCAACTCGATGGCACTTAACAACAACCACCTGAAAAGAGCGTTCTTGAATGTTTGGTTCTAAGTGAAATCCTTTGGGCCTGGAGATTTCTTTGTGATAAGAATATAAATTTGGAATTCAATGAATAGATATGGAGTCTTCAGATTTTCTTTTTTATCTGCCTCAATTTTGATTATTCAAGTCATTCTATGCATTTGTGGATTTTATCTAAGTTGTCAAATCTGTTAGCATACAGTTGTTCACAATATTCCTTTATTCTCTTTAATTTCTAAAACATCTCTAGTATGGGCCCTTGTTCACAATATTCCTTTATTCTCTAATTTTTAAAACATCTATAAGTAATGGGCCGTTTCATTCCCAATATTAGATTTGTGTCTTTTTTCTTTTTCTCTTAATCAGTCCAGAAAGATTTATTAATATTTTTGATCTTTCCAAAACACAGCTATTAGTTTCACTGGTTTCCTTTAGTGTGTGATACTACCTTAGGAGATGGAGCCCTGGTGTAGAGCTATAGGATAAGCCCTGGACTTCTAACTGCAAGGTCAGCAGTTCAAACCCACCATCTCCTCCTTGGAAACTCTGTACTGGGTTGCTATGACTTGGGACTTGAAGGCACTTAACAACAACCCCCACTTTAGGAGAGAACAGCATCTAATGCTAATTTTATTACATTGTTGTTTTTGTTAAGTGCCGCCGAGTTGGTTCCAAACCCATAGTGACCCTGTATAGGGACCGAGGAGCAATTGGTGAGCTTGAACCACCGACCTTGCAGTTCAAACGACTTTGCAGTTCAGTGCATTAACCCCCAGTGCCACACCAGGACTCCTTTTTACGTGTCTCTGCTATTTATAAAGAACTGTGGAAGGCTCAAGGAGCCCTCTGGTGGTGTTTTAGGATAAGCACTGGACTGCTAACTTGCAAGGTCCACAGTTTAGACCCATCAGGTGGGATGAGGGTGGGTGGAGATGAGATTTTATGTTCCTGTAAAGATTTACAGCCTCAGAAACCCTAGAGAGGGTCACTATGAGTCAGAATCGACTCCGTGGCAGTGGGTTTGTTTTGGGTTTTGGTGGAGGGCTCAGGGACTGGGGAGAAAACCTATAGTCAGGCTGGAGGCCTGGTAACAGAACAGTGAGCCCATCACAAAAACTTGTTACACTATTAGATGTGGCAACATTTGCTGAACTTAGTTTGATGTTATCTGGTACCACAGCAATATTTTTCCGTAATAAAAAAACTTTTTAAAACCTCAGCTTTCAACCACCTGTATTATGTTAGACATGGATCTCTAGTAAAAAATAAAACCAAATCCCCTCCCCCCGCCAATGGTCACTGAGTCAATTCTGACTCATAGTGACTCTCTAGGACTGAGGAAACCTGCCCCATAGGGTTTCCTGTAGGACCGACGAAAACTGCCCCATAGGGTTTCCAAGACTGTGAATCTTTATGGAAGCAGTCCAACAAATCCTTCTCCCATCGAGTGGCTGGTAGGTTCGAACTGCTGACCTTTCAGGTAGAAGTTAGGTGCTTTAGCCACTGTGCAAACAGGGCTCCTGATGTCTCCTAGTTTATGTCTTTATCTATTATATGTTAAAGATACAAAAAATAAATGATTTCAATGTGTTGATGGCTAAAGGCATGCCTTACCAACAGCTTTTCCTGTTTGTACAACATTGCGGCTAGTTGTGACCATGACGTTTCCAATTTTCTTGCCACGTTCACTGTTCTGAACAGAACTGAGAAAAGGAAGTAAATGTTAAATACAACTTTAAAAAAAACCTCATACATGTGCCCGTACATACACACAAACACCACCACCATCCCAGAGCCAAATATGAGTGTTGGTAACTACTGGAAACCACTCTATAAGCACTGCAAATGAGAGTAATTGAAAAATAAAAGAAGCCAAGTTACTCTTAATCTGTTATGAACAAATTAATTTACTAACAAGTATGTGGATTTTCAGAAAATTCTTAAAGAATACATAAATGGAACAAAAAGTAGACATATGGATATGCGGTTGATTCTTCCTGACAAGATAGGATTTGTGGAAAGCACTTCACCAGAAAGTGGCAAGTTCTGTTATTAGTTCACACCATTCTCCCTGGAACAGCAGTGTTTTCATTTTTAAGCATACACACTGCTGAGCTCGAGAACGCCATGCACATATTTGGTTACTATTTGAAGCACAAGTCTAACAAGTGGAGGAAAACAATTCCCAATTAGCAATGAAACACATGGTATAAATTCAGACATCAGAGTTTTCCCAATATTTCCTCTAAATACTCACTGTGAGAATCTTAACTTCACATCAGACACGGAGTACTGGCCTTGAAATGGATGGCTGTAAGGCAGAAGTTTGCAATTAGTCCATAAGCATTTCACCAAGAAATTAGCACAAAAAAGCGTCCACAAGGAAGGATTAGTGAGGCTCCTGGAGCTGCCCAGCTGAACAACAGTGAAGTCAGTAAGAGGACCCAGGTCTGCAGCACAGCTCGCCATTCAGTGCTATGGGACCCAAATGAGATCACTCAACCTCTCTAAACTTCAGTTTCCTCCCCTGAATAATTGGTGTGTGTTAGATGGGGTGGTGTTAGTGTTGCCCTTGTTGTTGTTAAGTGCACTTGAGTTGGTTCTGACTCACAGTGACCTTGTATAGGGTTTCCGCGGAGTGGCTGGTGGGTCTGAACTGTCAACCTTTTGGTTCAAGCCGACCTTGGGATCCAGTGCTTATCCTACAGCGCCATAGCAGGACTCCAGTGTTTGTTGGAAAATATTCTGCAGTAAATTCAGATGGATGCCACATAGATGAAGCTTGGTTAGTCACAAAAGGGCAAAAACTGTACGGTCTCACAAGAAGTCAGCAAATATTTAGACGCCAAAGACTACTGATACTCATCGCGATGGCAGGGGAGGGAAAGGGGGGGGTTGTTTGGGGACGGTTGAGTTTATGTTAATGGTGGTTGAATATTTTGGGAACGCATACTGATACTGGTGGCACAACATGGAAAATATAATTAATGTGACTGAATTAGAAACATGGAAGTAGTGTTGGCCAATGGTTTAGCATGTATATTTTCATAATTAAAAAAAAGTCAGAGTTGCAAAATCTAGACTGCATGCTGGCTGCTCTATAAAAACTGCTATTGGTCATGAAAAGATTTGTGGATGGATCAGCAAAATCCGGACTTTCTATTAGAAAGCTAACTAAAAATGCGGGTCTGAACAATACCACCATCTTTATTTTTTGTAAGAAAGCACCTTATGCTTACTTCCCTACTCTCATTACACAAAGGAGAAAAGTGTTTATGTGAACGAGGTGAGTGTATGTGTGCCTTTGGCTGTGAGCATGGCTTTTGGGTCCTGGTTCTGAGAGTAGGGGGATAGCCCTGGTGAGGCTGGCTGAGCCTCAGGAGGCCCCAGGCCGAAAGGCTCACAGGAGCATCCCTGGACTGGAAAGTGCTGACTTTCTCATCACCCAGCCAAGCTGTCCCAGGGTGGCAGACCCATCAGAAGGGATGCGGAGCATGACAAGCAGAAGTTGGTGTGTGCTGAGCAGACACGTGGCAGTAGCTGGGCCTAACAACTGTTAGCAGCTTTGCTGAGAGCGAGGTCCTGCAGTGGCACAGGGGGGCTGCTCAGTGCGTCCGACACCCATGTAGGGGTCAACTGCACAGCAGCTCTGCTTTGAAACACGGGTCCAGGACTGTCCCAAGGCTGTTAGTTGAAAGCGGGGCAGGAGCAGAGAGACAGCCCAGTGACATCAATCCCTCATCAAAAACCAAAACAAAACCACTGCCATAAAGCCAACTCCCCCACACAGAGACCCTACAGGACAGGACAGAGGTCAGCTCACAGCGCTACCATGACCCCTTAATTCCTCACCATGAACTTGCTATTTATGTATTGTCTGCTACCTACTTCCCAAGAACAAAGGTTCTGGGAGTGTCCTGTGTGTTCTGAAGGAACGTGGTATTATGAGAACAACTTGTAAATGCCACTTCAGAATATATATATAAAAAAATCCAGGTGACTTGATGGAAGTTACTATAAAAGGGAGGTTATTAAATATCTAAATTCTTTTCTTATATTCAAGGGTCTGTCAAGAAAAAATGACCCAGTGTAATCTATAGCGTATTATGAAAAAGTGCTATTAACGGCTTTTCAAATGACTCAAACTGCTCTTTGTGGGTCTAAATATGTTAGCAACTCTTTTCCTGGATTTCTGAATCACAGGGTTGGAAGAATTGGAAAGCACGTACTTACTCTCTACAATTCTGGAAAGGCTGTATTTTGAAGGATCAAATATGCCTCCTGCTTATCAAGGGAAGTTAGAGGACTGCCTTGCCTAATTTAGGAGGTGAAGAAAGGATTCCACAGCTCTCAGATCTTACAATTTAGTTCAGCATTTTTCTAAATGACATCCCTGAAAACAACAAGACTATCTATCATTGTTTGCTTTTTGTCTGGTGAACATTCTGCTACCATATTTGCATAACTCCCCTACCTATAAATGAGGGGGTATCAAAAAGTTTATGGAAAAAAAAAAACGAACTAGAAGATAATAGAATTTTCACACAAACTTTTTGAAGCGCTGTAATATTTCTGGTGTGGTGCTGTAGGATCAACACTGGACCGCGAACCACAGGTCAGCAGTTCAAATCCACCAAGCTACTCCTTGAAAACCCTATACAGGGTCGCTATGAGCTGGAACCAACTGGATCGCACTTACAACAACACTGGAACAACAGTACTGGAATACTTGTTAGGTGCCATCAAGTTGGGGTCCAACTCACAGTGACCCTGTACAGTGGCTTTGAGCTACTGACCTTGTGGTTAGCAGTCCAGTGTTTATCCTACAGTGCCATAGCAGGGCTCCGTTGGAATACTAAAGGGATTTAAAAAGTTTGTGGAAAAACTCCATTACCTTTGGAGGCACTTTCAGAAAAGTACTAGACAGAAGTTCAAATCTACTAGTTGCTTTGTGGGAGAAAGATGAGGATCTCTTCCCCTAAAAGGAGCTCTGGTAGTGTAGTGGTTATGAATTGGCCTGCGAACCACAAGGTCAGCAGTTTGAAACTGCTGTTCCTCAGGAGAAAGATGAGGCTTTCTGCTCCTGTAAGGATTTACAGCCTTGGAAACCCTGTACAGGGTTCGCTATGAGTCGGAACCGACTCCACGGCACATAACAACAACGAAAGGCTAAATAAAGGTTTACATCCTCAGAAACCCTGTACAAAGGGTTACTATGAGTTGGAATTGACTCGATGGCAGTGGACTTGGTTTTTGGTTGTGATATTCTAGAAATAAGTTCTTCTCTGCAATGTAAATAACCTTCGTTCCTCTATACGTTTTCTCAGTACTATTTCACGATGTTTCAAAAGCCATTCCAGCCAAGCCTCTCATGGACCTGCATAAAGCTTGCAGAGCTGTTTCCCATTAAAGGCACTACACGGGAAGCAGACACCGGACACAGATCTGACAAGACTTTACTGCAATGCAGACTAGAAAAGGAGAAGGATCCTAGCTCTGAGTGAAGACTGCCGGTCAGGGCTGACCTACCTGAGCACCCCAGCAAGTGTCCCCAGGCCCACGAGCTCACAGCTGCTGCCTTTCATCACGTTTGGAACACACCTTGCAGTTCATGAGGGAAAACACTTTGACTCCTACTACTCCTCATTTAATACTATTAAAATGTTTTTTTCCTTTAAATTCTGTTTTGGCAGTACAGGGTTCTGTTGTAAACAAGTGTGATTAAATTCAATAAAACTGATGTTGAACCCAGTCATTTTTCATGACAGATCACTGTTATGGATTGAACTGTGTTCCCTTAAATATTATGCTGTAAATCCTAACCCCTATACTAGTGGATGTCATCCCATTTGTGGGTAGGGTCAAGATGTAGCTGTAGGGAAGAAGATTCTCCCTGTGAATTATAGTGGAAGCTGACAGAAACTTTGTTGTGAAGTGCTGCTGAGTTGATTCTGACCCATAGCAACCCTGTATAGGGTTTCCAAGGAGTGGCTGGTGGGCTTGAATTGCCAACCTTATGGTTCAAACTAACTTTGCCGTCCAGCACATTAACCCACAGTACAACAGCAGGCAACATTGGTGCTTCCAAAAATACCTCACTTTTCTTCCCCCCAATATAAGAAGTTTGAATAGGGAAGCAGTTTTCAAGCTATTTCTCTATAACTGGGAACCTTTTATAACCCACCTATAGAAATTCTTTAAGGAGCTCTGATAGCATAGTGGTTACGGGTTGGGCTACTAACCCGAGGGTCAGCAGTTCTAAACTACCAGCCATTCCATGGGAAAAAGATGAGGCTTTCTGCTTCCATAAAGATTTACAGCCTCAGAAACCCTATACAGAGTGGCTATAAGTTGGAACCAACTCCATGGCACATCAACCAACCAAAGCAATTCTTTGGGGAGCACAGTGGCTTTCTAGGATAAACACTGGTCTGTGAACCACAAGGTCGGCGGTTTGAGCCCACCTTGAAGACAGAGAGACATTTACCAAGAACAGAGAAACCAGGAAGATACTTCTCTGTTCATTTAATACATACCAACATGGATGGTTTCTTTTTAGTTAAATAAAAGAAAAAGAAAGAATGCATCGAATGGAAAGAAGTGAAACATCAATATGCCTCTTAGTTTGTGTTTTTTCCAAAATCTCATCCTGGCAACTCTTTCTACCTTTTTATTTGGCTATATGACACATAGTACTGGAGACCGACTTGGAATATACAGAGCACCTTCAACCCAGAAAGTAATCCCGCAACCTGGGGATCTGCAGTTTCATCCATGGATTTCTTTTTACCATGTATCGATATGTTATAAAACTGGAATTGGGAAGGGTAACTGGGATGCTACAGAAGAACTATTTGGGAGGCAGGGTGTTATGTCTCACCCTCCATATCAAAGTACCTGGTGAGCATAATATATAACTTGTAAATAGCCCAATGACACACAAAAGAAGCATGCATAGGGCTGTTGTTGAGAGAGAAAGAGAGTCCACCAGCATGTCAGAGAGAGAAAGATGACGCTTTCTGCTCCTGCAAAGATTACAGTCTTGGAAACCCGACTCGACACTATCCTGTAGGATCGCTGTTGTAGTTGGAATTGATTTGATGGCAGTGGGTTTCCTTTCTTTTTTTTTTTTTTGGTGAGGGGTCACTATGAGTCAGAACCCACTTGATATCACTAACATCAACAACAGGCAATTCTTTAAGATGCTCACAATATCATCACGGCTAAGCTAAGATTTATATTGGGGGCACATTCAGTAAGCCAGTTTTGCTATGCACTGTTTCTTCAGAGGTTATGCTTACTTAGGATTTATTTCTGCAAGTGCCGGATGCTTGTTGCTGTTCCACACCCTGTAGTTGTGTGTATTCTTCCATGCTGTAACAAAGGTCGTCCCATAGTCCGATAATATCTTCTCATTATCTGTCAAGTAAATATTTGAGAGAAGTTGAGCTGGACTGTAGCCAGTTAGGGGTGTGAACATTAACCACCCAAAACAGCAAAGGAATGGCGCTATCCCCAACGTCCCCCTGCTTCTTTTGGAGACAGCTTACCAGATGTTAGGAAACTTGGGTCTACTTCCAGAAATCCTGTTAAGGAGCTATGTGGCCTTTGGCAAATCACTTAATCACAAAGAAGTTCATTTTCCTAACTGGAAAATCAGATTGAACTAGATATTTTCTAAGATTCCTTACAGCCCACAATATTTGTGTGTTCTCTTTACCAAGGTTATATGGCTAGCATCATGTAGTAAATGACTACTGGCTGTACAGTGCGTACAAATGTAGGGCAGTATGCACACAGATGTGGCGTCACCACCAGGGGGAAACCACTGGACACCAACAGGTTTGGGGTTTTTATACATGTAAAGTTGTTGTTGTTGTTGTTATGTGCCATCGAGTCGGTTCCAACCCATAGCGACCCTATATAGGGTTTCCGAGGGTGTAAATCTTTACGGGAGTAGAAAGCCTCATCTTTCTCCCGCGGAGCAGCTGGTAGTTTCGAACCACTGACCTTAAGGTTCGCAGCCCGATTCGTAACCACTACGCTACCAGAGCTCCTTATACATGTAAAGTAGGCGAGGAGATTACTTTTCTTTTCACAAATATCATTTTTCTAAAAAAAAAGATTAAGAATATATACATGAGATGGTAGCCACTATTTTATCTTCTCTGGACTTTGTTGCACTATTTAATGTTTCATTCTTGAGTTTCTGTGCATTCCATTGTCAAAATGTCTACGGTAACAATGAGTATTTTCATATTTGATATTGACAAGTTTACAAATCCAACTTGTAATTGTTAGGGTTTTGTGTCAACTTGACTAGGCCAGGATTTCCAGAGGTTTAGCAGTTGAGATGTGATTGTTCCCATGGTAACCTAAAAAAAGGCTTAGTTATGATGAGTGATGAGTGGCTATGAACAGCCAATCAATTAAAGGAATGCTGCCTTGTGGTTGTGGCCTGCTCCCAATACAATGGGCATGCAGCAAAGGCACACTCTTCCGCTGGGGACCTGGGACTCTACAATTATAGGGCATTTCCTTGGTGATACACCTTTCTTTCTTTCTGTACCTAGGTATATGTTTCACTAGTTTGGCTTCTCTAGAATACCCGGCCTAAGACATGACTTTTTCAACTTCATTAAAACCATGGGAAAGCTTCAATGTATGAGGGGGCTTAAAAAAATTCATGGAAAATTCCAGTGTCTTTGACTTCCACTTTTCCATAAACTTTCCGAAGTCCTTCGCAAATGGTTTCTTTCTCCCATCTGGAAGAAGAGAACAGTGCTACAGAACGGGTTCCAGTGGCAACTGCTTCACAGACTACTTGTGTGCTGTTTGCTTTGGTGGTGAAACACACGTGCCTTTTGTTGCTGGGAAAGGATGAGAAGACTCATATGCAGCACAGAAAGTTCTTTTAGAATATCTTCCTCAAGCAGTTGGTTAGGCTCAATACGCCTTTTTACCTGGTTAAGCATGGTCCTGAGACAGACTGCTTAGATTATACAAAAAAAATGTTAAGCAACTATCACTCTTCACTGCTGACAGTTACCTGGATAAACATTTAATTATTCATGAAGCTACACATCTGCCGGAGTTTCCTTTCTAGATTAATGATTCTGGGCTAGAGGTTGTATTTGGTGTTCATCTACTCTAATTGTAGAAAGTGTTGGCATTCTAAAATACAGCTTTAATAAATAAGCATCATACCTTAGTTTTCACTCCTGAAACTTGGGCTTAAAACTCTGTATGATAGTATGTGAAGAACTACCCTGTGAGGAGGAGGTGGGGTGGTGATGGAGTGGATTAAAAAATCTACAGAATCCTTATCAATGGCATGTAGAAACACACAAGACAGGAAAGCTGCCAGCAGAGCTCTAGTTTCTCTTTTGATACCTTTTCTAAGGAAAAAGCGATACGTCAGCTTGGGTTCACAAACAATGGTTGGTTTAATCCATGTTAGCGCTCTCATTTTAGCCATTTAATAGGAATAACAACACTTCTGAAACTGGGGCATAAATTTGAAGGTTTAATCACTCACAATGTGGTTCAATAATTTAAAATTTATTTTTAATGTTTTATTGTGAATTGGGTGAAGGTTTATAGAGTTGATCAGTTTTCCATTTCAACAATTCATACAGATTTCGTTTACTGTCATTGACTGCAATCCCTACTATGTAACATCACTTATCCCATTTCCTCCCTGGGTTTTCTTCTTTCCTTTCCATTATAGAGTTTAAATAAGTGAGCAGTGTTTATACAAATAGCTCCCCAAAACGGATACATCCTTCCACGTAATGAAATATTAAATCATTGTGTGAAAATGCTGATGATCAAGACTGATGACTGTTCATGTTCCTACTGTAACATAAGAAAACATATATACTATGTACGATTGGTTTTTATAAAAGGACCACCATAAACAGAAAACTAACAATATCTAAAATATGTGCATTAAAAAGCCTGGAAGGAATAAAGTATTCCAAATGCTAGGAGTGGTTATCTCTGTATGGGGCAATTATGTTAGCTGACATTGAGTTGACTCAGACTCATGTGATCCCATGGATGCAGAGGAGAGCTGCTTCACAGGGTTTTCAGTGGAGTTTTTGGAAGCAGATTGCCAGCTCTGTCCTCTGAGGTGTTTCTGGGTGGGTGGAGCGTGAGGTTTGTCAAAACACCAGCCTTTTGGCTAGTAGTACAATTAACCATTTGAGCCACCAGCAACTCCTGTCTGGAGCACTAACAGTCAATTTCTTTTCAGAACATAAACATTACAAAAATGAAAAATTACCAACAAAAATGGTGGCTGCAAGCACTTGTGTTTTCTTACCTAACTGCAGAGTGGCAGCCAGCAGCGCATGGATGTAGACTGCAAACTGAGCCCGGATCCACTCATCACCTCCCTCCCAGCCCGTGCCATCCAAAAAGACGTCGTCCCGGTTCTCGGTCACGTGCCTCACTAGGTAATCTGCGAACCTGAGGTCTGCGGTGGTTGGGTTAAGCAGCTTCCTGAGTTCTGGATCATGGATCTGGATCAGAGCTTCTTCTACCTAGAGGGTACCCAGGTATAAGTCAGTCTGGGCATTCATGCAGATATCCATGCCACACTTTAAAGAGTAACTACTGGAAAGTTGCAGCTGGAAATAAAAAATGTGAATAACAGCATTCTCAAAAGGTTAAGTCTAAAAACGAAAGAGGTTTTCACACTGACTTTTTTTGCTTCTAAATTTTAAAAATTTATTTTTGATTTTAGAAAATACAATATATACATATTATATAATAAATAACTTTAAATCTAACAGTACTTCACTCAGATAGTATTTTAGAAAACATAGAAATGTATATTTAAAAAATCACACTGATCACATTTAGAAATGAACAGTTAACAGTGTATTTCTTTAAACTTTTCTTTTGAGTGCATACTTTGTAACTTTCTAAACTGCAATATTTGCTATATGATATCTCCATGTATATATACAAAGAAACTTACAGGTTAGTTGTGAAGTATAATAAAACAATTATCCATGGTCATCCAATCAGCTTCAGAACTAGAAAGTAGCCAATAATGCTAAAGCAACTCTGTGGTTCTCTCAAACATAGCCTCCTGTCTTGAAAGGTGGATTTATTTTTTTCTTCCTCAAAACTGGGATAATACACAGCTTTGGAACTTAGGCTTTTCATTTATTTTCCAAGGAAGCAAGTTTTGGTATTTCCTGTAAGTAAGTTTTAATATGGCTGGATTTTCTTTCTTTCTTTTTTATCAATTATGTCTATATAAGAAATGATTTAAACTTCTCATGTATTTGGTAAGATGTCAAATATTTATTCTCAGCTTCCTTACTCTTAGTATCATAAGGATATTAAACAGACTAGAACTCTTTACATTATTCAAGTGATGCTGTTGTTACTAAATGCCATCAAGTTGGTTCTGACTCATAGGGATCCTGTACAGGGTTTTCTGAGGCTTTTAAAATCTTTGCAGGAGCAGAAAGTCTCATCTTTCTTCTTCAGAGAGGCTGGTGGGCTTCTTTCACTGACCTTGTGGTTTGCAGTCCTATGCTTATCCTATAAACACTTTTTAATAGTAAATTACAATAGAACCAGATAGCATGGGTCTGAAGCCTCGTTTTTCTCCTTACAAGTTGTCTGATCTTGCACAAGTTACCCAATTTTCTGTTCCTTTGCTTCTGGAGGTGATGTGGATAGCAACAGTACCTATCTCACAGAGTGTTGGGTTTTTTTTTGTTTTTTTTTAAACTTTTTATTGGAAAATTGAGTGAAGATTTACAAATCAGGTTAACAGTTTTACATTCAGCATATACTTTGTCTTGTTATATTGATTGCAATCCCCTTTATGTACTTAACTTCATGTAGTTAACACTTTAACTATTGGATTCTTCCCTGTGTCTCCCACTACCTTCATCTGTCCTCTGCTAACCTACCTCTTGTTGTATACTGCCTGCCCTGTCACCCATGTTAACATATGTCTACCCTCTAGCCCATGAATAATTTTCCTTCTCCCCTCCTATCACCATCACAGATTGTTTCTTTTATTAGATAAACTTTTTCTTAACTTTTAACAACATTGGTCAAATATAATATTTGTGCTTTTATGACTAATTTCCTCAGCATAATGTCTTCCAGTTTTCTCCATGTTATGTATGAGGTGTTTCGCAGAGTCATCCTTATTCTTCATTGTTGCACAGTATTCCATTGTGTGTATGTATCAACATTTGTTTAACCATTCTTTGGCTGATGGGCATTTAGACATCTTTTTGATCAATCTCTTGTAGGCAGCATATTGAAGGATCCTGTTTTCTTATCCATTCTACTCTGTCTCTTTACTGGTGCATTTAATCCATTTACACATTCAGTGCAATCCTCAATAGGTATGAATTGATCTCTGTCATTTTTTCTGTGTGTTTTTGTGTGGTGCTGCTGGTTTCTTTGTTCTACGTACCTTTCTGCACTGAATTTACTTTGTTTAAATGTTTTCTTCATTTCTGTTTTTAATGTTTATTAAATCTTTCTGATTTTCCTCTTTTTTCATTTTGATGTGCAGGTGGGTTAATTTTCTTTGCGGTTACCCTGTAATTTATTATTATTATTTGCGTATTTAAAGCAGTCTGCTTTATCTTGAAATCTAATTGACTTCCACGCCATCTGAAATTGCTGTTGTCTACACTATTCCTTCTTTTTGCCTTGTAGTTGACATCATTATATATTGATGTCTCTAATTCCCTATTTTTAGTCTTGCAGGTTTGTTTCACTTTAAATACTTCTATATCTGGATTGAGCTCTAGGTGGTGTTGTCATGTAAGTAATCTCAGGTTGTCTACTGTTGGTTATCAGTCTAAAGAACACCCTTCAGCATTTTTTAGCACTACACCAGGACTCCAAAGATGGTCTGGTTATTATTACAAATTCCTTTAATTTCAGTTTATCCAGAAATATTCTAATTTCGTTGTCCTATTTGAGGCAAAGCTTTTCTGGGTATATGATTGTTGGTTGGCAATTTTTTTCTTTCAGAGTTTTGTATCTGTCATCCATTGCCTTCTTGTCTGCAATGGTTTCTACTGAGAAATCAGAGCGTAGTCTTATTCTCCTTTGTAAGTAACTTTTTGTTTTTCCCAAGCTGCTCAGGATTATGATATGCCTTGGTGATTTTCTTTTGGAATATATCCTGTTTGGGGTTCATTCAGATTCTTGTATGCTTATCTTCTCGTCTTTCATGATGTTAGATAGGTTTTCTTCCAACAACTCGCTGACAATTTTCTGTGTGTTTTTTTATTGTTTCTTCCTGTTCTGGAATTTAAAAATTTATCTATTTTTCTATGTGTGCCTTTATTATAAAATTGTAAAAATTCATATGTTACTTTTTACCATATATAAGTAATTTTTGGCTTAAAGTAAAAACTGTCACAACTAATGATAAAGAATTAGTTTTTTAAAATGTGTCCTGGAATTCTAATCACTAATAAGTTGTATCTCTTCATGGTGTCCCACATAACTCTTAGGTTTTCTTTGGATTTTTTTCATTCTTTTTTTTTGAGTGTTTTTCTAACATACTAGTATAGAGGAATTTCTCTTTACACTCATTAAGTCAGGTCCAATCTACTCCTTTGACCTTTCAGTGCACTGTCCATTTCTGAAATCTTAGTATTAATCTTCTAATTGCAGATTTCATATTGCTTCAAATTTTGCATTTGAATCCAGGCACCAAAGCAGCACATGAAAGTCATGCAGCTGTCCCTGAGCGCCAGCTGGTGTGGTACCCAACCACATGGTTCCCAACTTCCAGAGAGCAGTCTGTGTTGTGGATGGGAGCTGGCCACACCTGTGGTCCCAGAGGAGCGTAGGGGAAAAGAAGGAATCACACTTTTCTAGTCACTGTGTGACTCAGCTCTGCCAGGTTTCCTTTTGTTACCAAAACTGTTCACAAAAGTTCAAGATGGTCACACTGTGTCTGGCTGGCCATTGACAATCAGTCTTCCTCCCTCGCCATCTCTGCTCAGCTTCTCCTACCAGCAAATACTCAATCCGCTTCATTAGCCTTTCTTCTGCAGTTCAAGGTTCCAGGATTTTCATTTGTGTATGGTTTCACTTGGTCTCTCGTACCTTTGTTGTAGAGGTTCCGTGTAGTACGTCTGCCTAGACCACCATCTTACCAGAAGTCTGTCTCTCAGAGTTGTCATGAGAGTTATATTAGTTAGCATATATGAGGGTAAGAAAAATATTGCTACAAAATCACAGAAACCTTTATTAAACAAAAATATCAAAATGTGAAGCTATTGTTTCTCGATATAGCCTCCCCTCTAGATCAATATATTTCTTATAAAAAATTTAAAAAAATTTATTTTGAATTGGGTGAAGATGAAGGTTTACCGAGCAGATCAGTTTTCATTCAATAATTCATACACATTTTGGTTCCTCTTACTGATTGTAATTTGTATAACATAACCACTTTTTCCACTTCCTCCCTGTGTTTTCCATTTCCCCTCCTCCTTCTCTCCTAACCTTTCTGAACTTCATTCTTTTGATACCAAATGGCTGATTATTCTACCGTGAGCTTACCTCCCTATGTTAGTGTTCCCTTTATAGACCTGCCCATTGTTTGGTGGAAACTTAATCCATGGGGATAAGTTCATTTCCACACCTGAAGGGTGACTAAGGGGTTCCAAAACAGTCTATCTGATTAATAAACCTGGTCTTCATGATTTTGAGTTTTATTCCATAATTCCTCTCACTCTATGCAGGGTCTTCTAACTTGATTCCTTTTAGAGAAGTTGGCAGAAGTAGCCAGATACCAATTAGTTCTTCTGGTCTCAGGGTCATAGAGACTGATGCTCCCATGGCCCACTGACTAGTTTGCTGGACTGTTTCCATACGTCGTTTACTTCACTCTTTGTTCCTTTGGACAGGGAAAGTATGTGTATACATTTCTGAAAACAGTGTTTTCATTTCTCTATGCAACCCTTTCCCCAAAGAATTCAGCAGTCTTCTATTTGTTCTGTGTCAAAATGGTAGTGGTGGCGTCTTCAAAGGACTAAAAATGTGTTCCCTTTAAATGTTGAGTTTGGGGAACAAAAAAAAAGCCTGAAGGAGCAAAAGCAGGTTTGTAGGGTAGATGGGGTATGATTTCCCAACAAAATCCTCAGAGGAGAGTCCATGTTACCATTGACAAATGAGCAGGTGCATTGTCATGATGAAAGATGCTTCTCGGGGTCACTTTCCTGGCCTTTTTCCTCACCCAGGAAGTTTTCAATTTTCTTAAAATGTCTTCACAATAAGCCCCTTTGATTTGAGGAAATCTATCAAGGTTACCCCACCTTTGGAAATCCCCCCTAAAAAGTCACCATCACTTTCTGAGCTGATTGCTCAGCTTTGAAATGAACTAGTCCAGTAGATGCCCTCTCAGAAGCGGCCGTTTTAACTATCCCCTTTTTTTTTTAAAGCGCTTTAAGGAAACGAAGACAAATGTCTTGAGAGAACTTGTCTGCACCATCCACTGATTGCAGACATGTGTTGTTTGGAATAAACCACGCATGTATGAACTGGAATCCTAGTAGCAATACTTTTTGGCTTACCCCGGCATAAAGTGCTCAGAATGCCTAGCATATACGGAAGTGATTATTAACATTAGTGTTATTAACACAACAGCACTGAGGAAAGGAAAAGAGGGATAAGCGTGTCAAATACACACACACACACGTACACGTACTTCCACAATGGCATCACTGAGATGTTTCTGTTGTCGAAAAAGGATGTTAGTAGCTCCAGCAACAAATCCCCGAACGGTCACATCAGAGAGAAGATGGTGCTGTTGCAATGCCATGTAAGGCAAACAGAGATAACCCTACAAATAACAAGAGTAACAGAAACTATTAGGGTACTCAAAGAATGGCTCTCTCCGAAAGCTACTAGTCCAACAAGAAGCTGCCTTCTGTTCTCCTACCCCACCTCCCAATGTAGCTCACCTCTGCCTCACTGACAAAATATTCGAGGGGAACCTCAGACATGGATTAAAAGAAGGCCAGTTTAACAGTTAACAGCTAATCTTGCCCAGGAATAGCCACATTTTGGCGAAGTGGTTTAACATGAAGGCGGTCTAACTAGATCACTTAGTGTTCTCAGTGCAATATGAAAGCCTCCACAGTAACTTATGGATGGAAGTTTTTCATTTAAGAAATGATGTATCATTAAGCCCATTAAAAAGTGTGTTGTTACACAGAAAGCTGTTAATTTTTCAGTAACATTTTAAAAGGCATGCATGTGTGCACAAACACCAAAGTATGAGCAAAGCACTGCACAGTATTTGTTTTGTTAACCTGCAGCCAAAAGCCATGCAAAAATATTTCAAGATAATTGCTACCAAATGTTTAAAACAAATTGTAATTAACCCCAACAGGAAGTTCAGTATAAAAAGCAGCATAGTTCCTGAGAGTAAAGGTATTACCATTGGAATGAATAACTGAAGCCGGATATGAAATTTCTGCAGAAAGAATCTGAATCAGAATACATTTTCAATGAGTGGCGCTCTTTGTATATGAAGCCAGGAGGGCATCTTGCTGAGCCCTTGAACTTCCGTTCAGTCTCAAGTCCTACAACAATTTATTTTCTACTTCTCAGCAATTTTCAAACACTGAATTAATATTAGTCCAACAATGTCTAGTTTACAGCGTGAGATGAGTCTGTCTGAGGGAAGGCGAGATCCCTTTTGCAACTTTATGTTCGTCACTGTCTGTGGCACAAGATACCTAACAAACAAACAAACAAATCCTCCTTCTGTCTAGGCCATCCCGACTCACAGCCACCCCACCGGACAGAGGAGAACCGCTCCTCAGGGTTTCCAAGGCTGTAAATCCTTATGGAAGCAGACTGCCTCATCCTTTCTCCTACTGAGCAGCTGGTGAGTCCAAATCACCAGTCTTTTGGTTAGTAGTCCAATGCTTAACCCATTGCTTAACCAGGGATCTTTCTGTACCTAACAGGTGATTGTTAAATACTTAATATGGAAAGGAAGGCTTCCGAAAGTAGGAATATAGTTCTAGTAACTTGGTCTAATTCTTCAACCCCTCTTTGGTATTGTCCTTACTCTTGACAATGTCTGTTATATAAAACTCTAATGTTATTAAGTGACATTGAGTCAGTTCTGACTCATATCAACCCAGTGCAGGTTTCTAAGGAGTGGCTGGTGGGTTTGAACCCCTGACCTTTCAGTTAGTAATCCAGTGCTCATCCTTCAGTGCCACACCAGGACTCCAATAAAAAAGGCTCTAACAGAAGCACCCAAAATAAATCTATGTCTATGCATGAGCGTAGTGGTTATGAGTCGGGTTGCTAACCTCAAGATCAGCAGTTTCAAACTACCAGCCATTCCGCAGGAGAAAGATAAGACTTTCTGCTCCTGTAAAGATTTACAGCCTCGGAAACCCTGTACAGGGTCGCTATGGGTCAGAACTGACTCCATGGCACATAACCACCACCACCACCAGCACACTTCAGATGATGAGGGCTCTTCAACCCAAAGCCCTGGTAGCTAACACAGAATGGGCCCTTGGCTCAAGGGGGCCTGCTCCTCACTGACACACAGTCAAGAGTCCTGTCTCTAAGTCCTTGTGGGCTATGTAATGAAAAACAGCAGTACAATATTGAACACTCAAATTTCATGTGGTCCCTAGGCTGCACAAGAGGACTGTGACATCTTCTATCTGATAAAGGCACTCTCAGAACTGCCAATCAATACAAAAGACTTATCTTGCAAAATAGCAGTAAGCCCACCCACTGCCAGGAAGTGGACTCCAACTAATATTGACCCTTGAGGGCAGAGAAGGGCTCTTCCTTCAGTTTTCTGAGACTGTAACTCTTTATGGGCGCAGGCAGCCTCAGCCGTCTCCCTCAGAGCGGCTGGTAGGTTTGAAACACTGACCAGGGCCTAACCCACACCACTACCAGGGCTCCTTGAAATAGTAAGAAGAGAATACAAATTAACCGCTCAATTATTACACTTCGTACTGATTCTGTTAGAGACGAAAATCCTACTGTCAACAGTGAGATTCTTGTTAAAGTATACGGACACTACCAAAATTAAGATGTTAAAAAGAAAGCAGTTCAAAGCTATTTTAAGATATGAAAATATACATTCCCTTAAAATTATAAATATACATAATTTTGACCCAGCATTTTACTTCCTGCAATTTATGTTTTTACTTCTTCATGTGTGATAACATGTGTAAAAAGTTGTTTATTGTAGCATTATTTGTTAAACTAAAAGTCTAGAATCCTAACTGTTCATGAATATGGGGACTAGATAAATGTCACCTATATATGGGAGGAAAAAAAGACACTATGTATTTTTTATTCATAATATATCCCTAGAAGGAAACATAAGCCACTGGTATCACATTGGCTTCCATTAGAGAGGGCAACTAGATAGCAAGGAATAGATGGGAAGGGAACATTTTTATTATAGATGCTTGGGAAACTTTTATAATGCTGATCTATGTGAAAGTATTATATATTTATAAAATTATTTTAAAATAGTTACTTATAGTTTTAAACATTTACACCATCAATACTTTTAATGCTGAATGCACTAGCTTCTGTCTTTCAAAGGTGCCAAGAACATGGTCCTTTACACTTTTGTTGCTGTTCTTGTGAAGTGCTGTTAAGTTGGTTCTGACTCATAGTGTATAGGATTTCCGAGGAGCAGCTGGTGGGTTTAAACTGCTGACCTTGCAGTTAGTAGTCCAGTGCTTATCCTATAGCACCACACCAGGACTCATGTTACACATATAATGGACTATAAACAATAAAAAACATAAATAAATAAATATTGTCTGCTAAAAGCAAAGTATACCAGAAAGATGTTCATCATCTGTGTTTTACTGAGTATGCAAAGGCTGTATGGATTACAGCAAGTTATGGACTAGCACTGTGAAGAATGGGACTTCCAAAACATTTAATTATGCTCATGAGGAACCTAAACATAGATCAACAGGCAATTGCTTGAACACAACAAGGGGATACTGCATGATTTATAATCAAGTAAGGTGTATATACTAGGCTTGTATACTTTTACCATACTTATTTAATCTGCATGTGAATATTCCAAAAAGTTGGACTATATGAAGAATTGTGACACCAGGATTAGAGGAAAACTCATTAGCAAACTATGATATGCAGATGACACAATTTTGCTTGCTGAAAGAGAAAAGGACTTGAAGTATTTTTGTATGAAGATGAAAGACTATATAACCTTTGCCTTTGGTATGGATTACAACCCAAGATAAAGAAAACAAAAATCCTCACAACTGGACCAAAAAAGCAGTTATTATTATGATACAGATTTGTTGTCAAGGATTTCATTTTACTTGGCTCTACAATCAACCCCGAAGAAAGCAGTAGTCAGAAAATCAAATGATATATTGTATTGGGAAAATCTGCTAAAAAAGAGAGAGAGAGAGACTTCTTAGGGAAAGATGGCATGTTGAGGACTCCTGTACACCTGATCCAAGCTATGTCATCTTCAATCGCCTCATGTGCACGCAAAACTGAACAATGAATAAGGAAAACTAAAGAACTGATGACTTTCAATTATACTGTGGACAAAGAATACAGAATATACCGTGGACTACCAACAGAATGAACAAGTCTGTCTTGGAAGAAGTACAGCCACAAAGCTCCTTAGAAGTGGGAATGGTGGGACTTCATCTCTTTGGTTATGTTGTCAGGAGGGTCCAGTCCCTGGAGATGGACAATATGCTGGGTAAAGTAGAGGGTCAGTAAAAGAAAAAAAAAGGAAGACCTTCAATGACATGCACTGACACAGTGGTTACAACAACAGAATCAAATACACCAATAATTGTGAGGATGGCACAGAGCCAGTAAGTGCAGTTCTGTTGTACAGTCACTAAAAGTCGGAAATGACTTGATAATATCTTACAACAGCACAGAGAATAAAGCAAACTCCACACTCAGTCTCACCCCTGGTTTTACACTTCTCTAGAGTACTTAGAAGGAGCCCTGGTAGTGCAGTGGATTACAAACTGGGCTGCTAACCGCAAAGTCAGCAGTTCAAATCTACCAGCTGCTCATAGGTGAAAGATGAGGCTTTCTGTTCTTGTCAAGATTTTAAGCCTCAGAAACACTATACACGGTCAACTATGAGTCCACGGCATACAACCAGCCAAGGAATACTTTAACTTCCATGTTTGAAACTGTAGTATATAATGGTAATATATGAAAACCAAACCAAACGAAACAAAACCTCAACTTGGTAAATCTAGAAGAACAACTGGGCTGATCTTCTGAAAAGTTAAAAACCCACAGCGTGTTTCCTTTTGTGTTCTCATTTCTTCTTCTCAGAAGCAGTCAGGATCCCTCCCACCCCAATATGATGGCAATTTATATTGGGTTTCAGGGTTGTGGTTAAAGGCGCCGTCCTTTTTGTAAAGGATAGAGAGAAGGGGACATCTGAGGGCCACGTATACTAAAGTACCCATTGCTGTTTGGTTAACTCGGATTCATAGTAGCCTGACTGGACAGAGTAGAACTGTCCCACGGGGTTTCCAAAGCTGCAAACCCTGATGGCAGCAGATGGACACATCTTTTTGCTGTGCGGTAG